AGATCTCTAGGTTTCACGTGCTTACCATCGTCGAACCGCAAGCACGCGAACACTAAACAGAGCCACCACCAAATGAAGACCCGACAAGCCCAAGGAAAAGAATCATCCACAACGAGCTCCTCTAAACACCCTACGACTTTTGAAGGGATGGGGACCGCCTCACGGAGTGTTTCCGCTCGCTTGTTGATCACTTCATGGAGGGCAACAATTGAGGGCTCATCCATATTGGGGGGATCCATCACCAAACGAGCACACACCCATTTCACGGCAGTCCGCAATGTGGGCAAAACTGTCGGTCCACACTCTGTTGAATCTAAATGGAGCATGTACTTCACGACCTTAGGGGTTGTGAGTGGGTAGACCGGCCAATCGATCGACGTCAGCCAAGTCTCCATCCGCTCCCACACACGAACGTATGTGGCGATCGTACGTGGGGCCCCAGAGGTGAGCACAAGATGCCTGAGCTTTTCGCTCTCCATAGGAGAGAGACCTTCACCTGCTGCCGGGTCCTCCCAAAGGCGAGCCCACGATCCAGCCCGGCGACCGATCTGCTCCAAGCGAGCTGCCCATTTATGTCTCTCAGCGTTCTCTTGATCCAGTAAGGGAGAGCTCGAGGTGGCCGGAGTGACGACCCCGTGCGATTTCCTAGGAGCTTTACTCTGTGTCTGGAACAGCTCCTGGATGGCTGCCGCCCTCTTCATCCGAGCTGACTCCGGCGAGGTGGCGAGCGCCCGCATCGGATCGCACATCCCAAAACCGAGCTGGTTGGCCGTTGATTCGAAGAAGCTTTTCTCCACCGAGGAAGCTAAAGACCAGAACTGTTCAAGTTGCATCGGGTCGTTCAAAAGAGCTTCAGCTACCTTCGGATCTAGCGTCACCGACCAGTCTGCCACTTTGGCAACGAACTCGCCAGGCGATCCCACCTCCATGGATGACACTATGGCCAGGTTGCCAAAAGGACTCTGAGCTATAGCCTGGGCAAACGCATCCGAAAAGACGGGAAATGAAAGGATCTTCCGTGCCCAGCGCTCAGTATTCATTTGAGCCATGATCACTGGCTCAGACATGGTGAGTATCGAACTCGCATGAAGTGCACATGATCACGACTCTTATGAACAAATCAAGCAGCACGTGCCGAGGGCCTAGCCGATCCAAAAACAAAAATTTCAAAGATCTTGAATGAACTGATCAGCTCACAAAAACACGACACTCACGATCGACAGTGGATCCCTGCCAAAGTGTTCAAAGTGGACTGAACCCGAAACGTAAGAGCTCAGCATCAACACTTTGACCTCTCTGGCTGGGATCCCACGACAGCACTGGGTGCGGTTACCTGATGCCGAGAGCACGGTCGTGAATGCAGTTCAAGAGCTAGTGAATTTGCAACTCCCGTGAACGACTCATGGCAACAAGAATGCAAAAGAGCGAGCAATCTGAGCGAATGGAACATGACACAACGACCTAACCGGCATCATGTCGTGATCAACTAGAGCCGACTTACGTTGGTCTAGACCCTCCGCAGCAGAGCCACTCTTTCACACTCACCACGAGCCAACGAGAGTCGTCGTTGGAATTTCGTTCGATCGAATTTCTCGGTCGTTGACCTCTGAATTGAAAAACGGGAGACGTCAAAGCCTCAAATGTCCGTGATCTCTGGGCCGTCATTGCCTGGCCCAAACGATCGTGGCGCACCTGAGGGCCGACGAGTCTCTCGGTCGAGCTCTCGGTCAAGCTGTTCGAGCTCTGCAACCTCCTCCACTGACAATGTCATCGTGGAGCGCAAAGGATCCTCATGGCCCGCCATAGCACGTTCGACTCCCGCCACAAAGGCTTGGGGAGTGACCGCTGCCGCAGCGATCCGCTCGTTATTTCGAGCTTCCAGAGACCTCCGCATGACATGAACTGCCCCTGCCGAGTGCTGGCTCTGTGTTGGAGCCTGTCCTGGCTGGGTCAAAGAAACGTGAGCTTCTTGCAGCCCCATGATCTGAGCCGAGCTAGGAGCATGACCAACTAGGGCACGAACACTTCCTGCCTGCTGAGACACGGGCTGAGCAGCAGGTCCACCCGTCACCGGCGGCAAGATCATCGTTGCTCTCTCCAGCTCTGGGTCGTGGAACTGCAATGCTAAGGCATCCACAGGGACGATCGCTTTCTCCTGCTTGAAGAGCGGGGACTCGCAGATGAGGTGGAGGTTGAGCTCATGAGAATCCACAGCTATCGCTCCGACTCGTGGTCCACAGTCCGCGATCGAGTCAGCCTGCATGGCCGCCGTCCAGTGGGCATGAATTCCCGCGAGCTGCGATAGTTGCATGATCTGATCAGGCCCCTCAATCCTCGCGTAGCGACGTCGACACCAGTCGGAGTTCTTCACGAGCGTGGGCCCTGACACTCTCGACACCATGAGCCAACTTGCTGGAGCTGAGACAGAGGAGCAAGCCAGATCAAGCTTATCTCCCGCTGAGACGAACCGCATCTCCAAACGATCTGCGTCCCAGCCGAATGAATCCGCTGATGCCACCGCTGTCATTCGAATTTCGAAGTGGCACAACGGATAATCCAATGCGATCACGATGCCCCCGTCCGAACATGCGTACAAGCGGCCACCCACCTCGAATGAGATCGCGACCACCCTCCAGCCCTGGAACACCGTGATGACCACGGAGGGGACGCACAGGAGATCCGCCAGGCCCAAGACGAGCGCATCATTGATGTAATTCAATTGGATGCTCATGTCTTTGTCTGAGCGATAACCTCGGAGCTCGAGGTGGAGGAGCAGCGAACCCTCAACTTTGAACTTCAGATCCATCCAGGTCGCCGAATCATCCCTCATCACAGGCCACCTGAATGGTTGGAATGCCTGGTGGGAGAGAACTCTCCCAGTGTGAGCATCCCACCGAGCGGCGGGCACTGAGCTGTATGAAGACATTGATCCGCACAGCACGAGCTTCTGTCCGTCGAGGGTCCGGACGTAGAACACGTTGAAGTGGTACCCCGTGTTGGGGGACCTCACCAGGGCTCGATCCGCATGAATATTGATCCCTGCCTGTGCATTGACCAAGATCTCGTCGAGAAGCCATCCTTGGTATGGACTCTGCAACCGTTGATCCCGGCTGTCCAGAACCATCACGGTTCGTTCGCCTTCTTGAGATCCAATCTGGCTCAGGTAGGCAGGGAGCTGGAAATTCAGCGGGCTCCTCAAAGGTGGAGCTTGCCCCCAGCGAACTCCATATGCCCCCTTCCGCTGTGCCCGAGCTTGCTGGCGCCTCAGTCGCCGACCGGCTGCAGTCTCATTGACCCCTTCGAGCAAGTTTCGAGCTGCCTGAGTGGCAGGAGCTGCTGCACTGGCTGCTGGAGGTACTGGAGCTACTGGAGGATTTGCTACAGGTGGTGGAGCTGTGGCACACCAAAACACTGGAGCGTCATCTGTAGCCCACGGATCCTCTTGGGCTGGGCCCGTGATCACTTTCCCGGCTTCTGACTTGTTCTCCTCGATCACTGGCATAGTGGATTCAGTCACCTCGATGATCACAGGCCCAGATGCATTCACTCGAGTCCAGGAAGCACTGGATCCAGTGGCAGACCCCACCATGCTCGCGCTGTCATCTGGCATGACATGCTCTGAAGCTCTCAGATGAGCCATCGCGAGCTGCTTCTGGAGAGCAGGTGGGGGCGCCTTTGGCGGGGGCTTCCCGGGAGCCTGACTCGAGGAAGAGCTTGCCATGGCACCGTGACCCCAGGCCCTACTGAACAAAGCTAAGCACTCAGAAGACCAAAAATTGATCTGGGTCACTGGTGCCGGATCCTTGAGTCCAAAATGGCACCAGCAACCGCAAACAAAGTGAAGAACCTCACAATGGACTAATCTTACCAAGTTACTCACCTGTTCCAAACCCACCTTACCGAAAACAGTTGAACAGCACCCAAGACACCCAAGAGCAAAGCACCCAACCAGTCATCACTTGAGGAGCACAAAGACTTGAAGAGTACCCAGCACATTTGACGAACACCCAACCAACCACAGCGAAGCAAGCGCCTGAAGACCGAGCTTAGCAAGAGGTGATTTGGTTTGGTGCTGTGCTCTTCAAGTGTGGTGATTGGTTGGGTACTGCGCTCTTCGGTGTGGTGCTTGGTGGTTGCTGTGCTTCTCAAGTGTGGTGCTCTTCAAGTGTGGGGTTGCTTGGTGCTGCTCTTTGAGCAATTCGTGTAAAACATTGTAAAACATAGTACAAAATATGAACCATAGGACATAACATAGTAAAACAATAGGTATGTTTTCGGCCCTATTTGTTGTCTTCGTTCCTATTGTTTTAATTTGGATGCTATTTATTTTTCCTATTATGTCGATCACACCCAGTGGAAGCTTAACTCCGTCAACACAACACTAGATTCGACCTTATCATAGTCCCATTAACTCAGTTGATCAAACAATCATGCAATTGCAAAGACCAGTTCATCCTGAGGAAGGCCGGAGATAAATCAGCATCAGATCAATCCTAGTCGGTCCTAGTGACTCAAGTAGATAAGACTTCGATGCATTCTCAAATACCATGGGACCATGAGCGAAACACGGCCTGACCATCATATCTTTGGGATTCCTCGGAATAGGACATAGCTTGATTTCTCGGAACCTGGGATTCCAGCAGAACCTGCTGGTATGCTTTCATGTGATCAAACAAATGGTTCCTCCGCACAAATCAAGCCGGAGTCTTCTATGACATGACCTGACACTTTAAATTAAATGTACTATCTTTTATACTGTTATATAATGTTATATACAGTATTGTTATATAACTGCACTTATGGTTGCATGTCAATGGCCATGAAAGGCCATGAAAAACAGACCATGAAGTAGATTCCTCATCCTAATTTCCAGGCCCCAAATCCCTACTGCACATGGCACCTCCAAACTCCGACAACATACCGGTTCCAACCGCTCCCTGGATCGCGCAGCTGCACTCCCGCAGTGCCGTCCGCCGAGGGAACTCATTCCGCCAAGACTCCATGAGCATCACCAGTTGATCTCGCGAAGCGCTCGCCAACCACTGGCCGCTGGGACTCCAAGCCTGTCCAACTCTGGAGGTCGGACGTGACGGAGGGAGGGCGCGCGCAGAATCCGTGGTGCGTTCGGACGGCGGACGGAGCGCTGAAAAGAAAGAAGTACAGACTGAGACTCCCTAGGGCTCCAAGTACCTCCTCACAGGTATTTGGACCCTCTAAACCCACCCCAAATACCTGTGAGGAGGTACTTGGAGCCCTAGGGACTGAGACTCGCAAGCTTTCAGGGAATTTGGAAGAAGAACAATGACATATCATATTGTGATGAATCTTCCATGCGAAACACAGAACCGATACAGGACCGATGGACATTCTTGTTTGCTAGTTTCTTTGTCATTGTAGGATCGAATTAAAGTCCTGCAAAGGGAGAGGCAGTCTACATCGATGAACAAATCGATGGCTGATGCTTAGCTGCCAGTGTGTTTACACCGGGATGGGAAAGCCAGAAAATCTGCATATCACAGGGCAACACTTCCAATATCAATATCTAGAATCATCTAGAACACCTCCTTAATTCAGGCATTCCAGCTTTTCCTCTGTATATGCCTATCTGCCATCCAGCATCTTCTCATGTCCTCTCATTCAACAACTCCTTCACCTGATCTGCAGCCCCCCAGCTCTTTCTCCAAACCCTTCCTTCCAAACCCTCCTTCCGTCCGGACGGCGCGTCTCCACTGAGCGCCCGCCCGCTGCGAGGTCGCCGGGGACCCGAGCCACGGAGGTCACGGTGTTCTTGTGGCAGAAGATCGTGGTGATCGCTTCGCTGCCACGAGGATCCCACAACTTAATCTGCGAGTCCTGGCGGACGACGACGACGACGAGTCCTGGGTGTTTTGGAAAAATCTATGTTTGGGAGAGGTTATTGGATGGCGAAGATGGAACCGGTTCTAAATCTGTGCATTATAAAACAATACCCTAGGGCTCCAAGTACCTCCTCAGAAGGTATTTGGACCCTCTAAACCCACCCCAAACGCCTTCTTAGAAGTTACTTGGAGCCCTAGGGAGATGACTTCCAGCTCACGATGTGCGGAATCGTTGGAATCGCGCAATCTACACGAGACCTCAAAAACATGAGACACTCTTCCTCAGAATAAAGCCCAAGAACCGCGGAAACTTTCCGTCTAAGTCTAAGGCTTAAGGTCCTTTTTCTTTAGATCTTTGCTCAACAACTGCTTCTCAAGAAGAAGGCCCGAATCACCCAATGACCCCAGGGTGAAGAGGGTGAAGGGAACCCTTTGGGGCCAACCATCCAGCCCCCCCCCCAAACGCCTTCCAACTCCAACCCGCCGTCCACGGCGTTCGGCCGTCCGCTTCTCGCGTTCGTCCCGATGAGCGCAGAGGCCTTCGATCCAGTGGCCACTAAGCCTTTGGTGGGATGCCAGGCGCAGCACCTCAGCGGTGTCGAAGCGGCGGTGTCGTGTCGGATTCCTCTTCTCTTTCTGATCTTCACAGCGACTCGGATTCGATTCATTTCGATTCGTTGCTGGGCGAGAGGGACTGGTCCAGAAGTATCCCAAACAGAAGGAATCAGGACGACACATGGATGTGCAGCGTGCAGCGGAACATGGGCAGTCAGTCTTCTTTCTGTGATCTGAGGCCGTTTCACAACGACTGTGCATGTGTGAGATGAGTGTGCAGCGGAATGTGATGGATCCCAGGATATTAAAGTTAAAGGATTTATCTCTTGCGACGATGCTCCAAACCACAAAAAAGAAAGGAACATGACGGAGACAACACTGGAGGTGGTCTAACAGTTAGATCTTGCAACTGCGTTGTCGTATTTGAGACGCGGATTCGAAGGTTTGGTGAAGTCGATTCGCCCCACTTCAGCTTGATGAACCAAAGACCATCAGATGCCTGAGGCCTCTGGCAGTCCTCTCGCTAGCAGCTCCCTTTTCACTGAACCGGCAGCTGCCGGCTGCATCCCCAAAATATAGAGGCAAACAAGATGCTTTGTCTTGGGTTGCGTCTTGGAACGTCCACGAGATCACCGTTCAACTGACACAAAACCTTGCTAGCCAATGCTAACCAGTGGCCACTCAGCCATCCACAGCGCAATCGAATTGAATGAGTTCTGTGGCCCCTGTTTATGCCAACGGCGTAGTTTGCGACCCCATAGGACTTTTCGATGGTCCTTACCTGTTGGGAACCCTTTTTACCTCATGACAGAAACCAACCTGAGTTACCGGCTGACCCATCAAAGGGAGTTGCCATCTTAATCAATTTGAAAAAGAAGCGGCGTAAGGATCGAGGTGGGTGATCCAACTGCTGTCTCTTGTTTGCTCAAACACCCTGATCTCCCCTGCTATTCGGACCACATGGAACCCCCCTTTCAACCACGGTCGGGTTGGCAAGAACGGTCGAACGCCGGTCCATTCTCTGGTTCCATGGGATCCTTTGCGGGAGAGTCACCAATCCGAAGACTCCGTCACACGAGTCACAGCCCTTCAGCTGCGAGTCAATGGCTCCAGCCCTTGAGCGAACGTAGCGTCCTCTTGTTCCCAGTCGTAAGGCCACTTTCACCACGTTCGTACGTCGCGGCCGATCGCTCCGGACTCGAGGAATTCGATGCCCGATGCCCCACTTGTTGCGACCGTTTCGCGTCCGATCGCTCCCTTCGTCGCTGGGTTCCTGGCTTAACGTCCCAGCCATGGCCGGTAAAGGCACGCTCCTCGTGGGGCCACGGTCAGAGAGGTGCCGGGCCTGCCTGGGCCTGCAGGGGGTGAGGATCAGGTGAAATGTTCAAGGAACAGCTGCACGACTTTGGGTGCCAAACACTCACCAAATTCCTTGAACCTCGTCACTCGCTCGCCTCGCTCGCCCGGAACTTGGGTCTACTGCCGCAAAACCTGAGACGTTTTCGGATATCGAAAGGAACCCCAATGGATCGATGAGTGGGGGGTTAACCGGTTGACTTGCGGGCGTTTGAAGGTTACGACCCAAGGGTGGCGACCATTTATACGTCACATGTCGAAAAATACTCAGCAAAACCTGGTCCTATGGGTCCTATGACCAACGAACTCCAGTAAAATGAGGTCTTTGACCTGTAGGGTAGCAATATCCATAAGAAAGCTTGTTCAAGTTCCATCTCCGCAACCATCTGTTCTCTTCTGATTTCACACACCAGTGTCTCAGCTCCTCCTCACCTGTTCGCAAATCCCAGACCTGGCCAGGGCAGTGCGGCGCAAAGCGGGAAAGCCAGGCCCTAAACTGCTGAAAGTTCTAGTTCTAGTAGTATATGTACTCATCCAGCAGAAATTTGGTATCCTCGTGCCGTACAGATTTTGGGCAAGCCCAAGAACAAACTGGTTGTAATCTCGAGCCTGCCATCATTCTAGACGGAAGTGCAAGAATCTCATTTCAAGTTCATCAGCTGTTTCAGGGAGGTCAATCTTGGCATGTAACTGTTTTCGAGGCTTCCTGTGGATACCTATTGCCAAGATAAATGAACCCGAAGAATCAAGGACCAAAGGTGAAGGTGTTGAGGGTCCAAGAACCCCCTGCTATGCAGCGCAAAAAACCTCCACCCGAGGGTCCAATGATGCTTCACGCCTAGGGGACATATCATTGATTTGTCGCCTACACCGCCTACACCTTTCCGATCAGCTCCAAAGGTTCACATCCCGTGGGGCGATGCGATGAGGCTTGGAAATTGGGACGTTTGCAATGTACTTTGTGACTTACGCAGTGAATTGCCATGAGTCTCATCCGAATCAAGTTGTGTGTTCTTGCAGCATCTGGGAGAATCTCTTCATGGAGACTCGTTCTGGACGCTTTCAAAGCCAACAAATCTCTAACATGATCTTGGACCTTTTTAGCCCTTCGTGACGCAGTTCTGCGGGCCTTGGCATGGGAGTCATCCGCACAGGAGCAGAACTTCTCACCCGTGGGCGCAATCTGAGCGGGTCGAAGAACCTTTCCCTAGCCTTCCATTTAAACCAATGGTGGGCGGTGGACCTGGTTTTGTAGTGTAACATGTTGTTGCGAAAGGACCAACTAAAGTACTGGTGGTTGGAAACATAGGGCTTTCTGTATAGTCAATAAACGTAATTTTCCAACAAGGACCAAGAAGGCTTGATCTTAATCTTGTGCTTCATTGAGCCCCTGGTGTGTGTTGTAATTGAGCCTGCCAATTAGACCAGACGAAACAAGACTGTCTGGAGCTCTTGAGCCTTTGTTACCCCTGGCCATTGTCTTGTTTGGAGCTCTGAAAGCAAGTGATTGCACAATCCAACACATTGCACCAGCACTGCTTGTCTAACCAGTTTGGCTGACAAAAATTGAAAATGGGTTGGGGTATATACTGTATATATATATATCTGTTTCAATCCTCTTTGCACTCGTAATTATTGCATATGTATCCAACAACTTTCCAAGAAGAACAATGGCCGTGACACAAAGGTCGACGACGTCTCCAAGTTTTGTGGCCCCTTTGCGCATCACTCTCGGGAAAACCAACTAACTCACTCCGTTCCGTCTCCGTTCCGAACCGGCCGAACCGCCCCAAACGAAGCACATCCGCGGGCCACGAAGAACATGGACACCGCTCCGCGGCGGCGACTCACTCAGCTCGGCACAGCGATGTCACACACAGAGTCCTTGTGGCCCTGGAAGGTCTGGAAGTTGTAAATGTATTGATCCTTGGGCACCGAGGTGGGCGAACACGTCGTTTGGCCGAACGTGTGGTGAACAGAGGTGTTTGGATGATCGAAGTGTCGTGCCGTCCCTCCGGGTTCCAGAGTGAAGCGGTTGGTGCCATAGAGCGACATGCGAACATGTTCTTGGAGCAAGGAATCTGATCAATCCTCATTGAACGTCAAACCAACCGACGGATTCCAGATGATAAACAAAAACACCTCAGAAATGCACCTGCATGATGCTTGTCCGCCTGCCTCTTTTCCGCTTTTTTGTTCGTGGTCACCGGAAGATTGGACAGGTGGAGACCACCAGGCCAGAGGTCAAGAGACCTCCTGCGCGTCCAAGTGGACCGACCGTCCTTCCGCCGAGGACTCCGCCGGGTCGCCCCGCCCACAATTTGATGAAGCCCAGCTGGTCGCCACTGACCATCACCGACTGCGAGACCGGCCAAAAGGAGTAAGCTTTGGAGTGAGAAGTATAGACACAAACGCAAACCTACAAAACCATGATAACTTTGCAAAAAGAACGATAGTTTCATGAATTTCTCGTTGACTCATTGACTGTGTACGGTCCAAAAAGCACAAGGGGTTGGCTGACATTTCCACAAGATCGCGGAGAGTGACTCCGAAACACACCCCCCGTTCCCATTAAAACGCACAAGTTCAGGCAAACGCAGCAAAAGTCATGGTCCCATAACCACCAGATATAAGCAAAGCCCTGGGTTGCAAACATCAGATACCAAATGGATCCAAATGGCAATGTTGCTAGAACAACCTTTAGCACATACACACAAAGCAGGAATTACAATCTAGAAAAGTCCGGTCGCACCCCTTCTCGCAACCGTCCTGCACGTTTGCACAACCGTAGAAAAACGAAAGGCACAACCGTCACATCCGGTCGCGTGCCATTGCGACGGTGTTTGGGGCACACGACCGGCTGTGCCGGAAAGCAATTATTCTAATCGTTTGACTTGGACGAACCTTTTGGCCAAGGTCCGAGCGTCTTTAAATGCTGCATGTTATTTTTTTTTGCGGCTATATGTATCCCCGTGTGAATTACAGGGTGGACGTTGGGGCCCCCATTCTATAGGTACAAAACGGCCGTGCCTGCTCCAGGTCTACAGAATAGCTGAACTGAGGCCCCCGCCAGTCTACAGAATCAGTGGCCTTCTGAAATGAGGCACGACGTCCCAGGGCAGAACATCTTACCATCTACAAAATACAAGGCTATAGATACAGTTTACTTCACACATCGTCCATGTCTAGAATATCGAAGGCCTCGACGTTACCCAGAACAGGTTAAAAAATACTAGAATTTCGTTTTGTAAGGGCCTCAAGGCCCACTTATCTGTAGGGGAAATTCACACGGGGATCTATATGTGACTATCTACGTTTAGTTCACTTGGCCTTTTGCCTTCGTACGCTCTGGCCTCTGACGGACGCGGCAGCGTAGTAAACCTGGTAACCCTGGTAAGGGACGCTGTATGGGTGTCAGCCACGGGTACAAGAATCCCCTGAGAATACACACGAAACAATGCACTCAAAAATGGATTGAGTGTTATGATTTGTCATGATTCTAATGATGTTGATTTGATGCACTCAACATCAGTGTTATCGATTGATTTGATGTTTCCAAAACATATTGATGATTTGATCTGTTATGATTTGTTCCCCAGGGGAGAAAATGCTCCCCCTGCACCCTGGGCAGAAAGAGTCCGGCCACGTGTCACGATTTCGCCTCATCCGGTGTCCAACGCATGGCCTTGATCCCGGCCTTGACCCGGCGGTGGATGCAGCGACGGTGTCAGTGCAGGATGGACATGGTTCTCCGTTCGAGGGATAAGTTTCTCAGGGCTTTTTGATGCTCCAGTAAACTTTCGCTGCATGAGCTGAACATAGCTGAACTATATAGTTCAGCGAACAGATCTACGTCATTCCTACATGACCATGTGGTCAGCAACTGATTAGCCTCGTATTCCCACCTTCCAAACCTGCAAAGAAACCTACAGTATATGGTGTCAGAAGGCACCCGGCTAAAACAAGTTAAAGTCTCACTGATGCCAAGTTCCCTGAATTGTCTACCTTCAAGAAACACCCAGAACTGAATGTCACACAATCCGAGCTTGGAACTATCACTCCACTCTACTCCACGCTAGAGTATATACGTAGCGTGGTATACTTGTCATATAGGATTCTCAATACCTGCATCAAGTACCAGCTACCAGCTACCAAACGCAACAACGACCCATCGCTGGGAAGTGAAGGAAGACTCACCTCCAGCGACGGCCGTCACTGGGCTCGCCACATTATGGGCTTGCATGACGTTCTCCGAGTGGAATTGCAAGCCTTAACGGTGATCGTGTGCTTCAGGTGCCCTTCAGGTGCCCTTCAGGTGCCCCAGGCCCAGGTCGGAGCTAGCATGTTCGGCGCCAAAGTACATCAAACGACCAAACCGTTGTAAGCAGTGTCCTCAGTGTCCTCCTTTCGGTTTTGTTGTTTTCATTCGATGTTGGTGGTCCTGGAATGACAGACAACGTCTGCCTCTGAGTCCCTCGTGCACACATGATCGGAAACCCAGACTCTTTCGCATCAACCTGCCCCAGGGGCCTTTTTCTTTGATCGAAGTGATCTATCAGCTGTATTTCGCTGTGGCCGAATGGCCTACTTAGGACGGGGTCCAAGGTTTGGTCTTCAAACAGGCTGGTCGAAGCTTTGGCCGCAAAGAGCTGTGATAATGATGGTGCCTCTGAGATACCAGGATCATCCAATGTGTGTCCAATCAAAATCCATCAGTAGTGAGTAGTGTAGGGTACACTATGGTACAATAGTCTATTGGTGACCCGTGGGATGGTTCTTGTATGTAATCCTATTGTAGCCATACAGTAATCAATTGGAGCTTTTTGTCAGCATAGTCAGTGTAGTCGCATGTGCATCGCTCCCTTGGCTTTCCGTGGAATTCTGCGGAGTCCAATCCATCCTTGCTCCGATCCAAGGCCATGCAGGGAAGAACCAACATAAACGAACTCCCACCCAGTGTTCTGTTTCAATTCGTGGACTGCAGCGTCTTGGCAGTCTGTCCATCTAGTGCACATGAGGTCGCACTAGCGAGTTCCATCTATCATCGAAGAAAGCAACAATTTGGGCCTTTCAAATATCTCAGCATCTCTCAGCCAAGTAAGAATTAGGTTGGAGGCCATCGCTACTAGGTTGGAGCCTACTACGAACGTCACCAGAAGCTACGACCGTCACAATGGGCATTCATCACATCGAACTCCTTCCGTCCGACTTCGCCCAGCTCCCGTTGTTCCCACTCGTCCGACTTCGCGTCGCTACGAGACTCGTCCGAAGTCCTTCGCGCGTCGACCGGATCGCCGGCCACTCCAAATGGTCATCTCTCCAGCGAGAGTTCCGGTGAGGACCCTTCGACCTCGGACGACGGCGGACGGCGTCGGACCGCGTCGGAGCGCGGTGGGTCAAGTGTGTCGATCGGTGTCGAGTGGAGGGTGGGGTGAAGGCGTGGACTCCATGGAGTGTATGGAGTGCATTATATATAAAGATATGCAGTATACAGGTACAAGTATATATTATTGTTGATGCATGGCCCCTGTGCAAGGATGACACGCTTTTGTTTGAGGTGCTGTGAACGCCGCAGCCCTTTTCCATGAGGTGTGAACACCTCATCAAGACCTTAACTGGTCCAGACAAGGCCAGAGGTCACCGCGAAAAAGGAAGTGTTTTCAGCGTTGAAGGTTCGTTGAATTGCAGCTTGTTACCAAGGGAACACGACCATGTCCCAACACCAACAGGTTATGAGCCCAACGTCAGAACTTTCTTTACCTCACCCCTCCATGCTCCGCCGGCGACGAACCATGGAGCATGATGATGATGGCCGCCTGGCCTTGATGCCGCCTCCGGAAGAGCCTCGAAGCGACGAGTTGGTGGCCAGGGCTGAAGCTTTGGAAGGTGATGGAAAGAAAGATGAAGATGAAAAGAAAGAGTTTAGCACCCCGGCCCGTTCGACGACAGGGCTGGGGAATACTGGAACAGGGAAGACTGAATTGGAGGTGTTTAAGAGTGGTGGGTCAAAAGAAAGTGTGGTTGAAGCTCCAAAGGGAAAGCCTGCCATTCTAGCTCCCTTGGCACCACCAGCACCGCAAGTCATGCAGCCCCTGTTCACTCAGGAACAGATCAGAGAAGCTAAGGCCTCTGCTCGACTTGCTCCCCAGCTCTTTGGCCCAGGTTTGATGCCGTCCTCTTCAGGTGATGATCGGCCTACTCAGGTGTCTCGCCCTGCCTTCCTGGAAGAAGAAGAAGAAAGAAGGGAAGGAAAGAGAGGAGGTAAGAAAGAAGGGTATAGAAGGATGGTGGAGATGGAAGAAGAAGAAAGTGAGGAGCTGAGAAGATGTGAGGAGAGCTCCAACGATCCTCGAAGGACCCGTCGCGATCGAGAACGGGAAGACCAAGAGGAAGAAATCATGTGGCGCTGGCAGATTTCACAGGATGTGCAACGGCTCACTGACCTTTGCCAGGCCCAACAACGTGAAAATGATCGCCTCCAGCAAGAGCTCTATGAATGGAGGATTGAGGGGGAAGACCGAAAGAGGTTGGAGGTTGAGGAAAAGAAGAAAAAGGAAAGAGAAGAAGTGGAAAGGCCAAGAAGTGCCTCCAACTTCAACACCCCTGATGAAGAGGGACCGAATGGGATTCCAGGAGCCGACGACCTACATGCCCGAGGACGCACACCGTGGTCGACCTACCCGGCTCGCTATGGGGTCAAAGGTTCCAGGTCCCGCTCCAAAGAACAACCGAGAAAGGGCCGAAGTCCATCCTATGGAAAAGGGGAAATGAGGGGGGCTAGACCTACAACCGGGGGAGCCAAATTGTCCCCTGAAGTTCAACAGATGGAAGTGCTGACACTTTTGGTGGAAAGTATGAAGTCCCTCCAACGACAGATCTCCGAGGGACAAGAAGCTCAAGGAACGGTGAAGGGGGTGGAGATTGTCCGGCAGGTGGCTGAACTACCTGTTCTACATCCTCTACATGGTTCCACCTCGCAGCTGCAGCTTGGCGATTGGCTGCTCCTTGTTCAGCCTGTGGTGGCTGACCTGACGACCACCTCTGACATCTGGTGGGATCGAATGATGACTGAGGTTGAGAAGTGGTACCAGGACCACCAAGCAATGGCTCCTTTGGAACGGGTCAAGCATGAGCCTGTGCCTCCATCATCACTCAGTGTTCCGAAATGGGCGAAGCTCGAACGGCGAATGGCCACCCTGTTGCTGAAGGCAATTCCAGAAGTTCAGAAAGATGAACTGGTGGCTACAAAAAGGTTGTCAGTGTTCGCCATCCTCGCCCATCTTCACGTCACCTACTGTCCTGGTGGCATAAGCGAGAAACAAATGCTCCTGCGGAACCTTGAAGATCCAACGGAACCAGGAAATCTGCACGACACGGTGGTTGGCCTCCGTCGATGGCTTCGCTGGCGTGCAAGGGCTCAGGAGATTGGAGCCACCGAACCCGACCCGTCCATTCTGGTCAAGGGTCTGAATCGCTTGACGAAGCGAGTTTTGGATGGCAATGAAAGCCTACGGTTCCGGGTGTCTCTTGCTCGGAATGCCCTCCAAGTTGACACCAATCCCAATGCGCTCTCGGTCAGCCAGTTCGCAACCCATCTCATTGCCGAGATCGAACAGCTCTCCTTGGCTGAGAAGCGAAGTGGTGCAACTATGAAGAAGGAGGAAAGTAAAGTAAAGAAGATGGAGGAGATCAACAGAAAGGCCAAAGGGGGTGAAGGCAAGCTGAAGGAGATGGAAGTCAAGTTGCCGTGCAAGTTCTTCCTCAGCGAGGCCGGATGTCGTCGTGGCCGTGATTGCAAATGGTCGCATGACCAAAAGGATGAACAGAAAAGGTGTTACCTATGTGGCTCCACGAAACACCTAGCTCCGACCTGCCCTACGAAGGAGAACTCAGGTGGAACTGCTCCCAACTCGCCGCCAAAGGTTAAGAAAGAGAAAGAAGAAGAGAAGGATCCAAAAGGCGAGGAAGGAGGAAAAGGAAGTGGAGGTCAAGATGATGAAAAGATGGATGAACTTCTCGCTGAGGCAAACAAGATGCTCAAGGCGATGAAGGACAAGGAAGCTTCGGAAGCCAAGCTGAGCAGATTGCATCAGCAGCTCGATGAGATCAAGAAAAGCATTAAAACCCTGAAGCTGACCCGCGTTCGCGAAGCGAAGATGGGGTCTTTGCAAGAAGAAGAATGGGGACTGTTGGACTCTGGTGCTACGCATCCCCCGAGGCCTCTTGCGTCTACGGACAGCCTCGAGAAGTTCAAGAAGGTCTCTGTGTCCCTGGCTGATGGCCGCACCACACCTCTGTTAATGACTGAGTCGGGGGTGATGGTTTCAACAAATCTACAAGTGGAACCAATAGTACCCCTTGGAATGCTGGCTGGAGGAGGATGCAAGATTTCATGGAAGAAACATGGCATGAAAGTTGCCCATCCTACAAAAGGATCTCTGCCGATCAGCATCCAAGCGGGGTGTCCACAGATCCCCAAGCAGCTGGCCCTCGAGCTCATCCAGGAGTATGAGGATCGTGCCCAAGAGGTAAAGCAAGCTCGCTTGGTGGGTGAAGTACACCCTGAACGGGAGGTGGAGTGGATGAAGTCGCTGGTTGAAGGCCATCCAGCTTTGGCAGAACTTCCCGAACATGTCAAGAAGGCCCTGGTCCAACAACCGGGGGAGTGGAAGGACCTCCCTGCCAACCGACATCAACGAAAGCGGTTGAAGGCAGCTGGTTCGGTGATCCTGCATTTATATGCTGGAAAACGTGAAGGATTCACTCTGCAAAAGGCTGTGGAAGAGCATGGCTTGGGAAGCCGTACCTTGGAGGTGGACCTACAGAGGGGTGATGATCACGATATGGCATCCCTGGATTCGAAGGCCTACAAGGGCCTGCTTCGTTTGGCGTTGGATGGGGATTTGGCGGCGGTGATTGGAGGACCCAACTGTCGTACCCGATCAGTTTTGCGACACTATCCTGGTGGTCCAAGACCTGTAAGATCCTGGGAGGAACCATGGGGCATCAGTGCCTACAGCCCTGAAGAGATGGCTATGTGTCAAGAAGACGATGTCCTGATGTGGCGTCAGATCTTTCTCTTCCTGGTCGCGGACATGGCTGCCAAGTTGAAGGACTCAACAGAGGAAGATGAAGAAAAGAAGAAAAGAGAGGAGGTGATGTTTCTGTTAGAGCAGCCTTCCGATCCTAAGGACTACATGCCCTCGTGTGTCTCCTTCTGGAGTACGAAGCCATGGAAGAAGCTTCAGAGTGCCGCTCATCTACAAGTCCACCACTTGAACCAGGGAGATTATGAACCCTGGAAGGAGGATGCTCCGGTGAAGCCTACAACTCTGGCTGCCAATGTGGAGCTTCGCTTACCAAAAGGAAAAACCCTGGATCGAAGAGCAGAGGAGAAGGTCAGAAGGTTCCATCGTCCTCACTTGCTCGCTGGGTTCCGGGACTATGTCGTTCCGTCGCTGAAGCCTGCGCTCTCCACATCAATGGAAATGTGGAGGAGGAACCGAAGCTAAAAAGGATGACATGGGAGCAGCACTGTCAAAATGGTCACGTGCCCTTTAGAAGAGATTGTCGAATCTGCCAGGAGCAAAGTGCTAAGTCCCGACCGCATCGAAAGGTTACCCACCCACTGGCAGCGACGTTGTCACTGGACACTGCTGGTCCATATCCTGTCGCCAAAGATGGTAAGGACTTGATGAAGTACATCCTCGTTGGCACCTACACCTGGCTTCTTCCTCAGGAACAGCATCCGCCAGTACCTGATGATGAACTGGCTGACTCTGATGAAGTGCTGCTTGAAGAAGAAGATGAGGAGGAAGGAAATGAAAGGTGTGATGAAGAAGAAGGTGGGGCAGAAGAAGGCGAACAAGGTGAAGAGATGAAGGAAGTTGAAGTGGGTGAAGAAAAAGAGAACCCCGATCTGATCACCTTCAGACTCGCCATTCCGATGGCCTCAAAGGATCAGAAGACGGTGCTGTCCACGATCCAGCAAATGTACATCCAGCTCAGGGTGATGGGCTACTACGTGGCGAGGCTTCACACTGATCTCGGGGAGAATTCAGAGGAAGATCCCTCACCCAGTGGTGTCGCTCAAGGGACATCCACCGCACTACAACGGCGGGAGTCTCTTCTCAGTCCAACGGGCGTGCGGAAAGGGCGATCCAAACAGTGAAGTCCCATATCCGTCGGGCTCTTGGCATGGCTGGTATGCCGGCGGGTCGATGGCCTCAAGCATGCCACTATGTCCACGAGCGGGAGCGAAGACGCATGGCCGATCTTGATCTGGGGGATGTTCCGCCATTTGGTCATGAGCTCCTGGTCAAAAGAAGATTTTGGAAGACAAAAAAATTGGAGGCAACCCATGAGAAGGTTCGCTACCTCGCTCCAAGACCCGATGCTCATGGTCACCTGGTGTTGAGAGACAATGGCTCCACGGCGATCGTCCCGTACTTCATCATGAAGACCCAGGAACCTGAGCCGAGCCAATCAACTTGGATGGCTGTCACAAAGGCCGCTGAGGAGGCTGAGGGTCCCTATGAAATCAGAAGAAGGATCCGAGGAAAAGTGGGAGCTAGAAGTATGAAGTTGGAAGAAGATCAATATGAAGTGGTTGAGGAGGAAAGAGAACGACACCTGGAGAGAATCTCCAACATTGTCCTGGAGGAAAGTGTGATCATGCTCAAGGATGAAATGAAAGTCATGGACGTCGTCTATGAGGAGCTGAAGAAGGTTAAGAGCGCGATGCCCAAGGAGGAGGAACCAGTTCTTCGAACCAGGGTGGTCTCCCCAAAAGAACTCCTTCGTGAAGCTCCACAATGGGATGAAGCAATCCGGAAAGAGCTTCACCAGTTGTTTGAGGAGAAAAAGGCTCTCCGCCGGATCGATGAAGATGAGTTCAAGTCCCTTCAAGAAAAGTGGGGCAGAAAGTTGGAGGTGCTGCCCTCGAAGGTAGTGATCACCTTGAAGCCTGGTCCAAGAAGAAAGATCAGACTGGTAGCTTGCGGCAACTTCGTTGACCCAGCATCAGCGGAACAGAAGGATCAATGCCTATACGCCTCAGGTGCGGACGCCGTTTGCCTTCGCTACGTCCTGAAGCGATCAGCTGAAGAGAGCTGGAAGGCATCAGTGCTGGACATTCGAACAGCCTTCCTCAATGCGCCGCTGGACATCGAAGCTGAAGGTCAGGAGCCGACCATGGTGGTATTGAAGCCACCATCCCTTCTTCTGAAGACGGGCCATGTGGGGCCCAAGGACTACTACCTGGCTCAAAAGGCTATGTACGGTCTCCGCCAGTCTCCGCGCTGTTGGGGGGTCTACCGTGACCAGGTGCTGAGGAAGTTGACCTCACCACAAGGACATCGCTTTGTCCAGGCCGAAGCTGAGCCGAATCTATGGAGCATCATGCTCGGTGATGGTGAAGATGAAGAATGTGAAGAAAAGATGGTTGGATTCCTATTGGTCTACGTTGATGACCTGATGGTTACAAGTGATGAAAAGACCGTCGACCAGGTGATCCAAGTTCTACAGGCCCAATGGGAGACCTCCACACCTGAAGAAGTGGGAAAGGAGAAGGTCAAGTTCCTGGGCATGGAGATCACCAAAACAGTCGAAGGAGGATATCGGGCATCGCAAGAAGACTACATCAAGGACAAAGAAGGGATTCCAGATACAAAGAACATGAAGGTCCCTATGTCCAAGGATGCTGCTCCGATGCCAGAAGAGCCTACTCCAGGGTTGGTCAATGCAGCCCAGAAGCTCGTTGGCGAACTGATGTGGTTGTCAACTCGTACAAGGCCCGATGTAGCATTCGCTACGAGTCGATGTGCACAAGAAATTCTGCCACATCCATCCTGGGTGATTGAACAAGCCACCCAAGTCTGGAAGTACTTGAAGGCAACTCCTAATGAAGGACTTGAGTTTCCTCCTGGAAAAGGAGAAGGATGGGATGGAGGAACAAAGTCATTGGAGGTCTATACGGACTCAAGCTTTGCAGCGTCGCCGGAAACTCAGGCATCCCATGGTGCTGTGATGGTGTTGTGGAATGGAGCGCTGATGTTTTGGAAAAGCGGGCGCCAACCATTTCCGGCCTTGTCCACTGCCGAGTCGGAGCTGCTGGAAGCCATCGAAGGGCTCCAAACCGGTGATGCAGTTGATAGCATGATCCAAGAGCATGAGGAACCCTACGTGAAGACCCTCTTTGTCGACAACCTTGCGGCCACTGGGTTCTTCTCCGATGGCCATGCCAACTGGCGCACCAGACATTTGAGGCTGAGGGCGCAACATGTTCGTTGGAGAATCACCAACCTCGACTGGCGAGTGAGACACATGCCTGGCGCCATCATGATTGCCGACCTTGGCACGAAGCCCCTTTCGAGTCAGCGCACTATGGAGCTGAAAGAATTGATGTCCATGGTCCTGCAGAAGAAGGTGGACGAAGAAAGAAAAGAAAAGGAGGATGGCCCAGGGGCGACAAGTAAAGAAAGAAAAGAAAAGGAGGATGGCCCAGGGGCGACAAGTGAAGAAAAGGAAGAAAAGGAGGATGGCCCAGAGGCAGTAAGTGAAGAAAAGGAAGAAAAGGAGGATGGCCCAGAGGCAGTAAGCGAAGAAAGAAGAAAGGAAGACGAAGGAATGCAAAAGATGATGAACTACAGCGGCCGACAGTTGCAGCTGGCGGTGCTTATGGCACTCATCGCCAAATCAAGGGCCCAAGGAAATCAGAGTGAGGAAGATGGGAATCCCTCTGACCAAGCTGGTTCTGAGCCGCTTCGAATGTTCATGATGCTGTACACCATCCTTGTCATCTTGGCCACCCTGCTTTTCAGGCGCTTCTGTGCTTGGTTGCTGGCACCAGCTATCAATGATGGTGACGCGGTTGCTGGTCAACAATATGAGCCCCCGGCACTTGGGCCACCTGGTAGTTCCACGTCGGAATCTCAGGGAAGTTCCATCACCGTTGACTGGCAAGGCCGGGAAGTCAATAGGCCTAGTGCCAGGTCAAAAGGAAAGAGAAAAGGAAAAGGGCAGGGCAAAGGAGATCCTCAAGATGGTGAACCTGTTGATTGGGCGTATGGTCCAGCGCGCCCCATGACAGCTGAAGAGAGAAGCCAGTTTGGATTGCAGAACCGTGAATGGTTGCTGCGATGGCTTTCCTCTCTCACTCCCGAAGAGAGGGCACAGGCTGGCATACCTCCGACCTCGAGTTCATCTGGACAAGCCTCCCAGCCTCAATCGGATGTCACGCTCACTGGCATCCAAGAAGAGCCTGAGCAGGAGATTCCTGCCGGCGATCATGAAGTACCACCCGATGTTCCACCACAAGAGTCTCCGGCCAATGAGGATGAGACTCTCTACCACCCTACAGAGAGGGATTACCGTGATATGATGGCCGATGAAGCATGGGATCCAACACCACCTCAACCGAGACCGACAGGTCCTTCAGAAGCGGCTGCAAAGGCATGCCCCAGGGCATTTCAGCGTGATGGCGAACCGCCAATTGGGGATGGAGGCCGGAGGTACCAAGGGATGGGTGTTTACATCACCAAGTATGGGCAGAAGTACCACATTTTCACTTCTTGCCCTACGCTCACCTCATCCGTGCTCCGGACCTCACCTCCATGCCATCGTTGCGCCTTCACCATCGACATGGCCCATGTCCGAAGAGGTGAACACCTTTGGTCTCGTGGATGGGGCGAGATCTACCATGTGGATGCAGCCAGACCATCGGCATGTTCAACTGGAGCCGAAAAGAAGTATGCCCCATGTGTTCGATGCCTGCAAGAGCTCCGGGAACGGGAGCTCAACATGTGAAGAAAGGATGAAAGAAAGAAAAAGGGAGGGTGTCGAGGGTGCACGGCAGCCTGCCTATGGCCATTTTGGCCTTGAAGATGGAATGAATGCCTGTTGGCATTGCGGTTTTGATGAGGTCAAAGACCACAAGAGATAAAAGAAAGGAAGACTAGGCCATCTTGGTCTGGGGTTGGCATCCTGCAGCTGAGCTGTCCTCAACCAATGCATGGGCATTGTTGGTTTTGCGCTGCTGCCACCAGGCCTGGTTGGCCGCGAGAAGAAAGGGCTTGAGCTGACGGTTGGCCCGTCACCACCATACATGCTGGAAGAAGGGCCTAGTGCCTGGAGTACTCGTATGGTGGGGGCAAGGGCATCGAAGTGTCTTCGCCGAAGCCAGGGGGAGTGTTGATGCATGGCCCCTGTGCAAGGATGACACGCTTTTGTTTGAGGTGCTGTGAACGCCGCAGCCCTTTTCCATGAGGTGTGAACACCTCATCAAGACCTTAACTGGTCCAGACAAGGCCAGAGGTCACCGCGAAAAAGGAAGTGTTTTCAGCGTTGAAGGTTCGTTGAATTGCAGCTTGTTACCAAGGCAACACGACCATGTCCCAACACCAACAATTATATATATAATGTATATATGTTGTAAGTAGATATGGGAAGTGTCCCACGAGTCTTTGCTCCTCCTGACATCATCGAAGGGACATCCATACATCCTATTGGTATCATGCAGCCTGTGCCATGCCGCGTCATGCACGGATGTGCACGGTGCCAGTGAAGCGATGTGCTCATCAATATGACCCTTGAAAGTGAATAGAAAGTCAATTGTTTGAAACATATTGAAACACGTTGGACATCATGTCATTGAGATTTGCATCCCAGACCCGTATGGCTTCCCCTGGCTGCTAGTGCCCTTTTTTCTGGGGCGGAAGTAACACTTTGCAAGAACAGCTGTCTTCCCTGAAACAGTCATGAATACAGCGCCATCAGTCATGTGAAGCTTGATGGCATATCGGAGTTCGACGCCAAGGTACCAGGAGTTCGAAAGGGAAGGCCTTCAGACCCTAAGATCTCTATAACCTCTAAACAGGGTAAGTGACGAAAACGAGGCCAGATGGTCTGTTTTTGGGCAGCCCAACCCCCCGGATGACCCGTTGGTCTATACCCATGTGGAATTCCTGAACCCAAGTCGCCGTTGGGAAACCAGGTGACCACATGCACCGGAGACCTCGGAAGAGGCGAGGGAGAGGTTTGAGTGGACGTGAAAAGGGAAAGGACCAACACTTGAGATGAAGCCTTTCATTTTGGATGATGATAACGACGATGTGAAGATGCCATGTGCTTTTCACAGAGGGATGTGTATTTCGATTCACTGATCGATACCCCCAAAGAGTGAATTCGATCCCGACCACACGGTGCACCAGGAACGACGGTGCACCAGGAACGATCCAACAATGTGGGACGCACCGTAGCCACCACTATCTTGCCCTTGTGGCTGCCAGTTTGCAGCGGAGCTGATCCGATTACAACCAAATAGCAGCACTAGGATCGAACACCTTTTTAGCAACAACACACACAAAATCCGTAGCAAATCCGTTTTGATGGTGTTGTATCCTTTTCGTACGGTAGGAAGGATGCTTGCCAAAGGGTGAGAAGGTGCCTGGCACTGAAGCTCCACTTAGTTGAGGTGCCTATTGAACCGGTCGAGCTCGCCATATCCAGCAACCCCCAACCACCAACCAAATACACCCTAATCAAACAACAAGGAATAACAAGCACTATGGAAACACAATCACCAAACCACCAAACGGAATACATAGCACCATACCATCTCACCAAACCATAAGTCAACCATGAGGTACTAAGGTCATATTCTGGAACATGGTCTCAAAGCAAATTGTAACTCTCCCAGCAGCGCCTGTTCTTGTTCACAGCCGCATGCACAAAGCGCGGGCAAATGCCATCGTAGGGGTTTTGAGGCCTTGTGGAGGCTGTGGAAAATGCAGTTATGCTCATTGACAAGGAAACATAGCATTCACCTTTGTTTGAAATTGCCAGCTTCGTTTCTTGTAAGCAACTTGAATACGTACTGCTGCTCAGAACTACAAAATGCGGACAAATGCCGAGGTTCAGAAACTTAGGAAAATACAATATACTGGGTGCAAGTGACCCAGGATTAGGCGGACATAGCATTTAGTTGGGACAGGGTTTCTACATGTTTCTACCGTGCACATTGCCGTTCGCTGATGACTTAGGAGTATGGAACAGCTGAACCTAAGTCACTGGTGGCCACAAGTCCTAAGTCACCGGTCCCCAGTATATGTGTCCTTCGGATCGTCAACTAAGCAGTGGCGATGCTTTCAGAGGCGCTCAAAAATCGAAGCCTAAGGACCACTGTCAACAGAGCAAAAGGTCCTTGGCGTCCAAAGAAAAAGGATACATCCTTGGGAGACAAGCAGCAGTGAAAGGAAGGGTTCAATCCTTAAATGTCACTCCACCAAGCAAAGAGAAACATTCACAGCAAGAGTCACAAATGTCATTTGGCTGAGAAGCTATTTCCAGAGTATGATGAAGAATGTCTTCTGCTCGAGAAGTTACAAATTGGATTCGTTTCGACCTCTAGATGTTCAATCAATTAAAAAGACACTGACCTAAACTGGGAAAACCTCTTCACTCCAACTTGGGGCACACGGCAGTTGACCTTGAATTTCTGAAATTCTCGGGTCCCTGGCATGGCAAAGGGCAGCACCAGCTCCTTGGTATAGTTGTAGTGACCTGCCGGTGTTGTGCAACATTCCATGATCAACACGTGAGAAAATCCTTCCTACTGACTCTAAGATTTCAACACAGGGATCTTGTTGGGTGCACTTGTGAAATACAAGCAATAAACTAAGCAAGAACCCAAAAACCCTAGGTCGGTAGGTCCCATCTTTCGTTTCAGTCCAACAAGCAGAACACGTTTTTCACTCCAGAGCTGCGTAGATCCCCGGTGCGGACGGTGAGTTGTATTTGTCTCACAAGCATGCGGTTTCTGAAGCAACATGGGTACACCATGGCACGGTCCATTGAAGCGAAGCACGAAGATCGATGGACTTTTCGATGGATGTTCAAGAGAAGCGGCTCTGCGCTCGTCCAAGAGAAGCCAGAAAAAACTATCACACGCCAAAGCAAGGCACAGCCTTCGTCCGGATCCATATTGTTCATGACCAGCACCTGGATTATCCATGGGATTTTGTTGGGGCATTTAAGGCCAATCTCCGTTCTCCACTGCCAGTCAAACCATTTCAAACAAGCACACATCGATGTCGCTGAGATCCATCCACCAGGTAGAAACTGGCCGTTCTAGGCACCCGAAATGCATAATTGGACCGACCCAGTCGAGAGGTTGGACAGACCCCTCTTAACCCAGAGGATGGGCTGGGATTGGCCTTGCACCGGACACCTCCATGGCCCTACATTGACCTCCCCTAAACCACCGCAACTGATCGGCAGTCCTATGGCAGTCCCAGACAGGTCGCGTCTGGGAAAGGCTGTTCAACCTCTGTAGTATTCCCCACCAACCCCAAGCCCCACACTCGGGCACCCCCGACGCTGGAACCGTCGCCGCTTGGGACGGCTCAAGCAATCCTCGGGACCACGGGCAGACCACGGCCGTCGAACGCCGCGGCGGCAGTGGGAATCGCTGCTGCAGCAGGGATCAATTCTGGCTATCTGAGTGGTAAAGGAAACGTGACAAAGCCCATGGAACAAAAAACACCTTATTTGGTGAGCCCATATCAATGTATCATGGCAAAGGCCATCAGAAACAGCACCGTGAATATCCGTGAATCCCCTTCTGTCCATGTCTATCCAATTTTCATAATATATACTGTAATTCATTGTAATTCAGATACATGTACAGTACACACTAATTATATAACACCTATGCTGTGACACCCACTGTTGTAACTGTGTGTGCTCCAAACACTTTCCTTTCATCACGACTCCACTCCCACCCGGTCCCGGTCAGGGCACCCGCTTCGTCCTCCCCGCCAGTGGAAGGCATCCGTGGTCAGTCACGGTCACGTCGGTCGCCCAGCCCAGTGTCCTCCAACCAACGCACCATGGGAGAGCCATAGTCCACGGTGCGCTTCGTGAAGCGCCGCAGCGGATCATCCAGGCCCTTGCCCTGGCGTGCGCCATTTTTTTCGGCGCCGAGCCGTAAACTGCGCTCTTTTGGTCGGGAGAAGCTTGTGACTTGGAAAAGAGAAGAACAGCAAAGAATGGGGTGTAGGAAATGCTTCAGCAAATCCACTGTCATCGAGAATTGTTGACAAATGATGATTTGTTAACTTGTGTAGTCTTTGTGGCTTTAAGCAAGGGGTACTTTTGGGGGTAGGACCACATGGAACCCTGTGACCAGGCTCTTTTGTTGACAAACTATTGACATTCCTTGTTGAGAAAAGAAGCAATCCTTCCAGTCACATGCATGCCGCTCCAAGGTGCTTTGTAAGTTACACAAATCTACTCTGAGCTCACTGCCTACATACGATGGACTCCGATGGTCAATATATTTGGAACTACTGTAGTTCAGCATAGTTCAGCAATCTTTGGTTCCAACATGTCCAAACCATTTACAGTGGTTTCAGAGTAGATGGCACAAACCCCATTATGTCCTTTTTGTGGGGGTCCTGATATAAACCACCTCTTGGGGTCTGTGCCATCTACTCTCAATCTACCAATTATATTAAAAACACACTTAACAGGTTTTAAGTTACCAGTTGAAGACCCGGTATCACATAGATAAGTCCTTCTCACTTGCTTGCTGACAGTCGTCAGGGTACTTTGGCGAATTGTTTTCCTACTTGTCGGGCGATGTTGTTGGGTATTTCCAGGGACCCCGAAAAAGCATTATATACAGATCTGGTGATCTTTCACTGAGTCACTGCCACATGTTTTTCGGCCAACAATTCAGGGAATCCTCATGGAAACCGGCCATCGTTAGGCTAAGCCTTGTAGACTTTTCCTGAAGCAGCACCAAAGAAGCAGCGCAGAAATCATGGGTTAGATCATCCATTGAGGCGACGACTGGGTTGACATGTGCGGTTGACAGGGTTGATGTGTGCGGTTGATAGAGGCGATGATCGGTTGCAACCGGTGATCCATGACGAGTCATCTGAGTGTTTGCAGCTAAAAACCAATGCCCCCACTGCCATCCACGGCATGAACGGAATCGCTCGCCAGTCGCCGCTAGAAACAACTGTAACTTAACGATGTAAACACACATATAACAGTGTTGGATGCCGATTCATAAACTCCGCTCACTTGCAGATGTCTAGCGGCAGTGCGTGTGTGTTTGTGTGGCAGCTGCTGCGCAGTCAGGTGTTTTTGCACCCCACTAGTACACAGGAAGACCGAGTGCTCAAAACAATGCGCGGTGGCAACTTAGATATTGAGGCATATTATGAAACTTCCATAGCATGAGTTGTAAACACAAGTGTGAGGATGGGCCACGTCTGGAGGTCCAGAAGACTTCACTGATGCCCACTTAACATCAAGGGACAAGGATTGGCGAGTTATCCATAGTTCAGCAGTTGTTGAGAAACCCCTTCCCCCAAAAGGGTCCCCACTCTCTGCGTGGGCCGAGAGTGGGCGGTTCCGAGCACTGCTGCCACAAAAACACCGCGGGCCCAGTCCTTGCCCTTGGAGTACAGGACGATCTCATGGCTCATGGGCCCAGTCCTGTCCTCAAATTGGTGCCACCGGTGGAAAAGAAGTTCAGGACCGAAGTCCACTTGGCAGGCTTCTCTTTTGGGGATGCCTTTCTTTGTCCAACACAGGTTGATGCAAGTTACACTTTGCTAAGTCCAAACTGGCGTAGGAGACATGATTGATGTCGCGGTTGAATTCAAGCTCCATTGGCACAAGGCTCACTAACATAAGCAGGACTTTGCACAAAGCAAATGGGAAAACCACTCACCAAAGAATGTCATCACACATGAGCTACATTATTGTAAGTGTTTTACGTATCCAGAACATGTTGCATATTTCAAAGCTAGCACCAGCAGGGGTAATTTCAAGTCATGCTTGCATAGCCCGGTCGCCCAACCCCGGTTCACTGGTGGACACAAGCAACGCTGTCCTGCTGCGACAAAAGCGATTTGCTGGGTCCAGCAAAGCTCGGATTCAGCGAAGATTGCACGCGGCACGCTTGTGTTTTTGTGGTTTCGGATGAATTGATTCTTGTTGATGTGGTTTCGGGTAGAAGCGGTGCCAACTAGAGCCTCTCTCAAAAGAGGAGTAAAACATATAGTGACTGTGCTCATCAGTGCACGATTGCCGATAGACCAATGTGGTGTCAGGGAGGTGACTCGAAGCTCTATATATCTCTGTCAAAGTCATATTTTTCCCACGGCAAAGCAGGAACTCTGCATTCCTAGATGCAATCATGTAAGATACTCGGATACATTGATGTGTTTGGACTTAGAAACCTCTGCATTTGTTGTTTAATTGCTGCTCCAAGGTCTGCTAGCCTGGAGAGAGGGTGTATCTCCAGTGCTGTTGTACTTGAAGGATGATGAGTTCTTCCCCAGAGAAGTTGTTGGATTAGCAGGACCATCCTAGGGTCCTAGACCTGGATGTCCTGGCTGGACTACCCTACACTATCCCGGGATCTCCATTGGACTACCCTACACTATCCCGGGTTCCCATTGGTTCTCCCGGGTTCTCCATTGGACTCCCATTTAACAATTTGCTCGTATTTAAATCGTCGAGTTCGGACCTGGCTGGTCGCAATGGGTCCGAAGCACAGGGAGCAGTCGTCCTTATGAACAAGGAACTCGACTTCGTCTTTCTTTATGATTCACCCCTTATCTTGTTGAACTGACTTCAAAGGTCACCCTGTTTTTAAGTTATGGTCATGGATTTGGGGGGGCGTCATCAATCTCGTGTCAGCCAACGAGAGGAGCGAGCGGAGAAGGCTGAGTTCCCACTCACCAGGATTTTACAGCTTGGGATGCAACAGCATTTGTCCAGGAACTCTAGCTGGATAAATACAATCCAAAAAACAAAATCGTCATAAATTCAGCTTTTCCACCGTTTTAAGTCAAACAAATAGCACCTGGTGGACTTCAATTATGGGGGGGTGCCGAGGAGGAACATGTGCTGGTTTGTTGAGCAAATCTATGGTACAAAACCGCTATTATAACTCTGGCCAAGTATTCGAGGCCACAGAACAAATAAAACACACTATCCCCCCCAGAAAAGGCTTCATTGTGTGACTTAATGCATGAACGGCAGGTCTCATGATTGTTAAGTGGTTGTTCTCTATAACAACCTAAACCACATTTGCATTGCTGCAGGGTTCCGCAAGGCAACTGCTTGACGGCCTCATGAGTTTTCAGGTTTCAGGGATGAATTGCCCTGGTGTCCATCCAAAGAGTCATACAACTACAAGCAGAAACCATGGTTCCTCCAGGGGACGGAAATCAACTTGATGCAGGAAACCAACTGTATACGACCAATGGTGCCAAATTAAATGTGCCAATAAAGAACAAGTCGAGCCACAAATACAAAGAAACCTCCATCAAATTGTATCCTTTCGTTTGCTTCCTTTCCTGGAATGAACAGTGACAAAGATCTGCAGGATCCTAATCCCTTGAGACATCTGCAAATAGTCCAACTTTTTGGAAACCGCCAATCTGCTCGCAACTTGTGAAAGAGCTAGGCATGCTCGAAGGCAATCCTTACCGAGCCGGCCGAACTTCGGCGTTTCTTGACCGATCGCTGGGCCGGATCAAACGAGGCACGGAGTTCACTCCGGTGCAAAGCGTCAAACAAGGCTAGATGCATGGATGGTACATGCTCGTCATTGGCATCGTGTCCGATATGAACAGCTTAGAAAACAGCCTCTTCTGGGCCCCGGCCCACCTTCGGCCCCGACCGATTGAAACCTGGCGGCGCATCAGGTCCTGTTCGATGGATTTGGCAGGGAATCCGGTCCAGTTCGGACCCGCACAGCTACCGGGCCACGATGGACATGTAAGAAGGGCGCAAATCCATGCTGACCTCCGGAAAAGCGGCCGCACTAAACCTCCGCGGACTACACTTTGCAGGCACTTCAAGAAAGATCTGATCAGCATGCTGCAAGCCAGCTGCCGCAATCGAGAAGCACCTTTGGTGTCCATGGTCTGATAAAGATTTATGGCACTCCTGGGTCACTTTTGAAACTTTCCTCCGGTTTCCATGGGAAGCATAGGGAAACCATGTCCTCAAAAGGGGTCTATGTGCTCAGCCAAAGGCTAGCTCGGTACAACCGATTTGGATCGGATTCACTTGGGATCGGATCGGGGTCTACCTCTGACCGCCGCATGGGGTCTAATGGATTGCTGGCATTTGGATCGGAGTGTTTCCGACCCTGTCGGACCGGGACCCTGTGGGACGTCTGTCCAGTTCGGTTGGTCTGAGACGTCTGACCCGTTCCGAGGTCGGTCCTTAGGTTCGAGTTCTGAGTTGCACCAGGTCGTGAGTTCCGTGGGCACGAACGGGATCTCATGATCAGCGGGATAGCATTGACTTGACTTGTTTTCGACTCAAGCACGAACGCCTGTTGTGTATAGATTTAACGAGGTGCGGACAACCGCAAGATACAGTAAAAGAGGTGCGGACACCTAGGTTGCATGGTAGTATAAATTGAACTAAGCAAAGTGCGGACCACCGCAGCGAAGGTCAGAGGCGCGGACGCCTGTTGTATATATAGATAATAAGTTCATTGGACAAACGATGCGGACAACCGCAAAATCCATAAAAGAGGTGCGGACACCTCTTGCACGGTAGTGATACCATTGAACTAACGAAGTGCAGACCATCGCAATGTAGGTAAGAGGCGCGAAC